TTGGAGAGCGGAACTGCGCAATGAAGTATTTTTAAATTTCTGTTTCCTAAAGTAGTTTCTTTTAATCTAATTAATTCCGTTGAATAAATGATAGAAAGAAAACCATTGAAAATTATAATTGGTGCTAACTAAAATAAATTAGCTAACGAACCAATCCAAACAAAAAATTATTCAAGTTCAATACTGTAAACACTCATATTTCTAACGAATCGGATTTTTAGTGCAGTTAACTAAAATTTATTAGATATGTTTTTAGTCCCCATTAGATTAAAAAATTTATTTAAAAGAATTTTTTAAATGAAAAATAATTGAAAGTCGAAAAATATTTAGAGACGAAGAAAATATCAAATGTGAAACCATTATGAATAATTAAGAATTTAGAAATCACCCTACATAGGACTAAAACATAGAGAAAAGTATTAAAATAGGACTTTTATATTTTTTTCTCCGAAATATGACTTCGCACTGTGGTAATGTGGCATTGTACACGTACACATCACATATACTTTTTAGTAATATACATGACTATGTGTGGTAATGTAGATGTATTTTAAGTCGAATTTCGGGAATAAAGTCTATCTTTTTTTAATTAGTATAAAAAGTTAAAGAGTGGGCTTATTCTTACAACTAGTGTTTTTTTATAACATTTTTTTACAACAATGCAATCAGGGCACCTACGGTGCTGCATTTGTAAAATTGATGATTCTTACCATCATAATTCATAACCTTTCCGGTAACCCTCAGGTCCCAGCTCACTCCTAAGGCACCCTTGCATCCTCTTTAATTGCAATACCTATTATTTTGGTAAAAATGAATATTCATGCAATTAGAGGGGATGTGGAAGTACTTTATGGCCGGGCCAGGCGTAGAGGTTTACCGTGAGTTATGGAGCGGTGAAATAATTAATTTTATGATTGGAGCACCGTAAGTACGTTGATTGCGTTGTTGAAAGAAATATTTGAAAAAAAAATTTGTTGTACCAATAAGCCTCCTCAAAGCTAAAACCTGATAAATATTCCAAGAATGGTGAGTTAGTACCCGCGGGCCCAAATGATGTGCACGAGGCCCGGTTCTAACCTGGATTTTACCTTCTAATCTTCCGAGCACAGTTCCGGCTAATCCAAGGCTTTCCTCTGGAAGATTTCAATTTCCGATCTCAAATCCCCGATGAAGATAGACGCCGGTACTCAATCCCTTCCGGAGTACGTAATCAGAGACATTCTCAGGCGAATTGAGGTGAAATCCCTGATCCGATTCCAATGCGTGAGCAAACAGTGGAAAACCCTCATCAACGCCCCATCTTTCATCGCCGAACACCTCCGCCGTCAATCTCCTTGTCTTCTTTTCCAAGGGGAAACACATCGGAATTTGCAGTTAGGTCTACTCGATCGCGAGATGCAGGCCCGGCGAGTGCAAGTGCAGCCTTCGGTTTTTGAACTTGAATCTCCTAAAATCGTGGGTTCCAGTAATGGCTTGCTCTGTTTGCGAATCAAACAGGAATTGCATATTTCCACCCTTTTGTTGTGGAATCCAGCCATTCGGGAGCTCCGAATGACACCCAGAGTTGGTGGATATCATTGGTTAAGCGTAGGGTTTGGATTCAGTCCCATTATTAATGATTACAAGGTTTTGATTATTCGGAAGACAGATTATTACATGCGTACTTTTCGTGTGGAGGTGTATTCGTTAACCTCTGGATCATCGTCATGGAAAGTAGTTGAAAGTAAGATCTTAGAGGGCATTTCTCTAAAGGGCACGAGTGTGACTGCAAATGGAGTTATGTTTTGGCATGTGGGGAATGATGATGCCGATATGATACTTTCATTTGACATAGCATTGGAAGTGTTCACGTTAATCCCATTTCCAGTCGTTGCAAACCGTGATCTGTGTTTTAGGCTTGCGGTTTACGAGAACAAACTCGCTATGCTTGTTGAAGATTGTTCTTGGAGAATCTCAAAGCCTGAACCTATTGCTTTGTGGGTGATGGACAAAGGGGATGAAGCATGTTCATATGGTGAGGGATGGAGTTGGAGTAAGAAATGTAACGCCGCCATTCCTCACTACGTAAATCCCTTGATGATTTGGAAGAGTGAAATCGTGTGCAAAGTGTGTGAAAATGGGAAATGGAGAATTGCTCTCTTCAATGTCACTACTAGTGAATTCAATATGATTGTTATGCATGACTCCGAGTTTATCGGTTTTATGTGTGGCTTGGAGTGTATCGATTATGTGGAAAGTCTTGTGCCAGTAGGGGGAAAGAAGTTGTATGCAACATTTACGTAGGGCACGAAGAAGTCGTTAGCGGTGGAGACTAATGAACCAAAACTCACTCGTCTTATGCAACCTGATGTAGTGATTCAAATGGTAAGAATCCTTTTCCCCAAAATTTTAGTTATAACATTGTTGTTTGAGGAATAGTTTGTCTAAGATTGGAGGGGAAAAAGTGAAGTTGGCTTATAAATTATAAGGGAGTTGTTGGGGGTAGAGATGAAAGATGTGTTGACTGATTTTTAAGATGATTCAATATTTTCTTTGGATACAAGAAGTTTGAAGTCTCTGGGTGTTTTTGATTTCCAATGTTTTTTAGATTCTATTATTAAAATAATCACTTTCCATGACTCAAACCCCATCTATAATACAGTATATGAGATGTGCATTAGAATACTATTGATTGTGGGTTTCTATATGAATAAGTGGGGACTCAAAAGTGTGTTTATCATGTAACAAAACTAAATGGGTACGTGGGAGAACTATCCAATTTGGATTAAAACAATGATTCATATATAAAAATAGTGTTTACTATTTATATACTAAAATAAGATTTATAATGTCAAAGAGTATCAATGCATAATGTCAAAAGATTGTGAAATGCCAACACAAAATGTCAATTCTTGTATATAAAAGGAAAAATATTTGAGACTTTATTTTGTTATGAATTAAATGTTTTTTGTCTTGTATATATAAAGAGTCTGCGACCCGTCTCAACACCTCCGTGGTAGGGGCTACAACACGCCAATCGGACACCTTTTATTGGGTTAAAAATGTGGCCTCTTGGCACCTTAGAGTGTCATGACTAGTGTGATTAGTTGAACTTTAGTTGTATAGGTAAAGTATAATAAAACTATGCAAGATCTAATCCTATTGAATAATGACAGTTGTTTATTGATGCATGCAAGTTTATGAATTAGTTCTAGCCTTAGATATATTTTCACTCAACTTTCAACTAAGTTTGCAGTTCTTGTTGTTTTTAACTGCACGCAAGTATGAATCAAAGACTAGATAAGCAGCCTGGTGGTCAGTGATGTCTTGCAAAGTGGATGACTCGAAGCAATTTAAATTTGAATCAATTACTTTATTGACTTTATATTATTTAAATTACAAGAATGTTTTAATGATGTTATTTTTAAATGCTTCTGCTACGTTTGGTTTAATTATTCCAATCAACTTATGTTTTTAAATTAATAAGAATGGATGTTTATTTAAATGTTTTAAAAATATTGTGAAGTGAATACCAATTTGGTAGCAACGTGATCTCTTAACTCATTGGTTTGGGCTACGCGGGTTGAGGTTTTACAGTGTAAGTATATAGATTAACGATCAAAGTGTCCCCTTCAAGACAGTAAAAAGTGAAATGAGTAAAATACTTTAACTTGGGAAAGATTAGTTGAAAATAACGATGCCATTTTCAGTTTTCACACATCTTATCTGCTCAACCGAGAGATGTACTCGTTTTCTTTGTGAGCGCCCCCATTTTTTACATTTTAATCTGTCGTATCATTTACATCATTCATTCTACAATGGATGTCACTTTCTGAACAACCTGAAAAATCTCATTACTTTTACAAATCATTTTAATTATAAACTGACATAAAAATAAGAAGTATAAATTATATTTTTCAAAAATATATCTAAGATTTTACAAAATATAAAGTGACAAGAATATTTTATTTTAGAATTGAGTGAAAAATACATGCTAAATTTCGAGACACTTAAGCAAGAGAGATTACGGCTAAGCAGAGGCGGAGAAGCAATATAAACACGAGAAAATTTTGGGAGTAAGAGTGCATATTAGTAAATTTTGGAGCATTTACGTAAAATGATAAAATTCTGAGAGTATTTTTGTGAATTTTGCCTAAATAAAACTATAAATATAACTTTTTATCATAGATAGAAAAGTCTAGACGGGTTTTTAGTTATATTTATTCGAAAATAACTATAATGATCAATATTTTAGTACTCATATAGTTAGATATTTATTTTTCAATTTTATTATACATGTTTTGTACTAACATTTTACTTCAAATTTATAATTTTATTTTACATATATTCATGTTTCAAATAATTAAAAATTTATAATACGTTAATTTACAAGTATTTTTTAAATTTTAAAAATTTCCAAATACTTTAAGTTTTTAAAATATAAAGTTTAAATCATTTTTTAATGATTTAAGATAATGTTTTTGTGATGCTTTTTTAAAAAGTAAGATAATAATTATTTACCATAGAAATTGAAAATTTTTATTAAAAGTTAATAAAATAATGAATATTTAATGTAAACTTAAATAGTATGAGATTTGCAAATTCTTATCAGAAAATATGAGATAATTCCATATTATTGTGAAACGGTCCGGTTCCAGTGACACCGGAAAATGGTGCCACTCCGGTGCCACTGGGTTTTAGGAGCACTTCCGGTGCTCCGTTCATAAAATTGACGGTTCCTACCTCCTTAACCCACCCCTAAACCTCCCACCCTACTCCCACCCCTGCACCCCCACCCCAACCCCGCCGTAACCCCTGACAAAATGTGTGGCTAATAGCCACACATTTTGTGGGGGGTTACAGCGGGGTAGGGGTGGGGGTGGGGCTAGGGTGGGGGTTTAAGGGATGGGTTAGGGGATAGGAAACGTCAATTTTACGAACGGAGCACCGGAGGTGTTCCAAAAAATCCAGTGGCACCGTTCTTACTTGGCACTAGAACTCTTGTTATAGTCTACTATACGGAGTGCGTTTGATGTCTCTTTTAATCAAAAGTTTCTCTTTCGTCTGGAAGATCTCAAAAATTTCAGATCTGAAATCCCCTCTCCACCGTAAAGCTCGTGACAATGGACGCCGGTTCGCAATCCCTTCCAGAGGACATAATCAGAAACATTCTCAGTCGAATTCCGGCGAAATCCCTGCTCCGATTCCAATGCGTGAGCAAACAGTGGAAGAGTCTCATCAAAACCCCATCTTTCATCGCAGAGCACCTCCGCCAACAGTCCCCCTGTCTTCTTTTCCCAAGGAGAGGAGAATGTCTGCCTTTTGGGTTGCATCTGCTCGATTGCGAGATGCAGGTCAGACCGGTGCAGGAGCCATCTTCGGATTCCGGCAGCACCGTCGTCCGGCGTGCTAGCATCGTGGGTTCCAGCAATGGCTTGCTCTGTGTGAGAATCGTCGCTTCAACGCGATCTGTTTCGTTCTTCTTGTGGAATCCAGCCATTCAGGAGCTCCGGATGAGTCCCGCACTTTCTGGTTCTGATAAGGGTCACTCTAATGTAGGGTTTGGATTCAGCCCCATTGTTAATGATTACAAGATAGTGATTCTTTGGTCTTCGGGTTCTCCTGTGGAAGTGTATTCGATAATCTCAGGCACATGGAAAGTAGTCGAACCTGAGGTTTCAAAGGGCATTCGTGTTTGTTCTGTGCTCGTACGGCCAAGTGTGACTGCAAATGGGGCTATTTTCTGGCTTGGGAAGAAGGATGGTGTGGGTGTGATAGTTTCATTTGACATAGCATTGGAATTGTTCACATTCATTCCATTGCCCGCTGCTGCAGACCCCCTTTGGTGTTCTAGGCTTGTGATTTACGAGAACAAACTTGCTCTGTTTATTAAACGTTCGTTATCGGACAACTCAAAATCTGAATGGATTGATTTCTGGGTGATGGACGAGAGGGACGTGGTAGCAAGCTCATCATCATATGGCGAGAGATGGGGTTGGACTAGGAAATTTAACACCGCCTTTCCTGGCAACGCATATCCCCTCAGGATTTGGAAGAACGGAATCATCTGCGCGGTGTATGAACGTGTTAGTGAGCTATCAGCACGGGAGGAAACGGAACCGGGAATTACTCTCTTCAATGTCACTACTGGTGAACTTGGTACGGTTGTTATACATGACTCTTACAAATGTTTCGATTATGTGGAAAGCCTGGTGCCAATTGGGGGAAAATGAGTTGTGTGCAATATTTATGTAGGGTGGGTTTTCAATGTTTTTTAGGGGCCAAGAAGTGAGGTTGAGAAGCTTATATATGGTTTTATATTATGTTGTTAAAATAATCCCTTTTCATTAAAATGTATTGTTAAAATATTCCATTTTCATTTAAATATATTGTTAAAATAATCCCTTTTAATTACTCTTTTATATAATCAAGAGTATACATACATTCTTCAGATATTGTATGACTCCATTAACTATGGAACTTAAAAGAGACATTTTGACCATTCATATTCTTTATTATAAGATTTTTTTTAGACATTGGAACGCAAAGGTATATTTATCATGCAACAAAAATAAATGGGGACTCAAAGGTGTATTTGTTGTGAATTTTTATACTCTGCATATGAATTTCACAATACAATATGTTTTTGTTGATTTATGTGTGAATTTTATAACATACCATGTATACTGCCTCAGAACTGTTAGCATTTTTAGTCACTCTTTACATTCTCCAGGCATTTTATTGTATGAGTCCGGTGACCATGGAACTCAATGAGTGATTAATTACTGACAATTTCTTTTCTTTATTTAGATTTTTTGACCAGTCCGGGCAGTAACTCTACGAACTTGGATAGATTGAAAACGTATGAACAGACACTACATTGTAATAGAGTTATTAGTATTCAAAAAAAATTTCATGTACAAAAAAAAATAATGGGGACTCGAAGTGTATTTATCATGCAAGAAGGGGGACTCAAAGGCACATTTGTAGCATAAAGAGAAGATGGCATAAAAATCTTCTTAAAAATACGAGTATATGATAATCTGATATACTCGGCGTAGTAAATTTTGCAAGGATTTTGGCATGAACGCTAGTTTTAAATTTTCTATGCTAATAAGTTCAAGGCCTAGATTTTTAACACTCACTTGTTGCCTATCGTTCATTGCTGAGAAAACATTTGTGTCGGTGCACGATGCACCGACATAATTTGTTTTTAACTAATTTTTCCAAAAAAAACAAATTAATAAATGTAACTAACTCATTAAATGAATATAAAAAATAGTTAAGCATTAAATAAATAAAGACCATACAGAATATGCAAAATTGAATATTTGATGTCAGTTTAATTTTACAAACTACCTGCAACTAATATTCATGCTGTCAAATTTCATCATTGTTTAAACATGTATGGACTTCACAATTGTTTAGAGAGGGAATCACCACGTTAAGTAGATATTTGGAAACATTTAAACGTCAATTTAATATTTTAGAGATTTCGGATAAAACAAAATAAAATGCTATTTCAAAAAAATAATAATATTGAGAGGAAATAAGTACACTATTACAAAAAAGAATAAATTTTTAAAATGGTATTCAAGAACTAACTGTTTTTTTCTCAAATCAGTCGTTAAGATGGAATAATTATCAAGATGGCATTTGTCACTTGAGAATAATGCTCACTTTAGTGTCCCGAATAAAGGTCATCAAAATGACATTAAAACTTATTTTAATTTCCCAAATGATCATCATTGGGCGTTTTCTCAAATTCGTTCATTTTTTAAATAAACACTCATCAAGTATATTAAAAATAATTTTACATTTTATATGTGATGGATTAGGGATTTTTCCTAATCCAATATTATTTGAACAGTACAAGAAAGCCCAATTTTATCTGGCCCAAGATATAAATCAAGTTAATTATTCAAGACAGAACCAGAGATATATGGACATAAGAATATATATGAAGTGATGTGGAGACATTTGGCGGGACCCGTGGAACACTATCACATGGAAACCACATGCTGCACATTGGCTTCACATGGACAATGTCTCCTCTTGTCTCCATCAATTATTTCCTTCTCCTTTTTAAATGCATGCTACGAAGAAGGGAAGAGGGAAGCCAATTTCCTACTAGTTCTACTATTATTCTTCATTCTTCTCCTTCTCTTAGCATGGAGCTCCATTAATAGCTCCAAGCTCCTACAGTGATGTATATGTAAATTCCCCCGAGATTAATAAAAGTTCCTCCCCTTTGGCATGACCCGATTTGGGTTTCCACGTATAAATACTTTCTCTCCGCTTTATTTATTTATTTAATTTCCGGATTTCGCTATTCGGTGCGGTGCCGACCCGGTACCGATTTCATCGGGTCGGCGCCCCGAAAAAGCGGTTTCCATCACTGGCGCCGACCGTGGGACCGGCCACAAAAAAATTTTGTGCTCCGAGTCTGTAATGGAGAAAAAAAAGTGAAAGAGAGAAAGTAAAAAAAAGAGAGAAATAAATTAAAAAGGGGAGACAGCGGGTCAAAAAAAAGGAGGAGAGAAATAGGAAAAGTGGTGGTCTTCCTCCTCTTCGTAGGCCATCAGATCTGGAGCAGTGAATCAGTTGGTGAACTTCAAGCGAGTAATTGGCAACGACAGAGAGCCCCTAATCCAATGAATTTCATCTGTGGCGAGTTCCTTCTTATTCCGGCGAGCCACGGACGGCAGCCGCGGGTCTTCGAGGAACTCCTCCTTCCTCCGGCGAGCCACGAACAGCAGCCGCGAGCCTCCGGTGAACTCCTCTAATCCCGGTCTTCTCCAGCGAGCCTTTGGAGAGCCTCTCTCCGGTGAGCTTAGATCCGTGACCGCTTGGAGATCCGGCAAAGTCATAACTGGCGACAAGCTTCGACGAGCCCTTGGCGACCGCGGCCAGCATAGCGGTCCAGTAGACAAGAGACTCCTCTAGCTCTGGCAAATCCTCCCTCCGCCGTCGAGCCGCGGACCGCAGGGATCTTTCCGGCGAGGAGCGAGCACGCGATAGGGGGACGCCGGCAGTACCCTCCATTAGGGTCGGTGAGTATCCTCCCAGAGCGGCGAGCCCTCTAGCGTGCTTCATCTCTGGCGGTATCGAGCGGTGAGCCATACCACTAGCAATTGTCCACTCCGGCGAAACTTGGCCCGGAAGAAGCGAGCTCCCACTTCCTCCGACGAGCCACGGATAGAAGCGGCGACCTTACGACGAGCTCCCACTTTTTCCGGCGAGCCGCGGATGGCAGCGGCCGCGATTGCTCTTGTTCGTCCATCAAGCTCCCTTTGCTCCGGTGAGCCTCATCGACAACAAGCGGGCCTTCATCTTCGACGAGATCCAGCTAGCTCCGATTTCCTCCGCCGAACCATGGACGGAAGTGGCGGGCCCCTCTCCGCGGTCCTCTCTGGCGGTCCTTTCCGCGGTCCTCTCCGGCGGTCCTTTCCGCGGTCCTCTCTGGCGGTCCTCTCCGCGGTCCTCTCCGGCGGTCCTCTCTGCGGTCCTCTCCGGCGGTCCTCTCCGCGGTCCTTTCCGACGGTCCTCTCCGTGGTCCTCTCCATCAGTCCTCTACGCGGTCCTCTTTAGCAAGCCATGGATGGATATATCCTCAAGAGGACCGCTCCAGCTTTAGAGGTCCCAAAATTGGACAGATTTATCCTCCAATGGACCACTCCAGCTTCATGGGTCCCTCAAATGGACGGATTTTGCTCCAAGTGGACCGCTTCATCTTCATATGTCCTTCACATGGACAGATTTAGTTTCCTGTGGACCGCTCCATCCTCATATGTCCTTCCCATGGACAGATTTGGCCTCCAATGGACCGCTCCATCTTCATGGCTCCTTCACATGAACAGATTTAGCTTCCTGTGGACCGCTCCATCCTCATATGTCCTTCTCATTGACAGATTTGGCCTCCAATGGACCGCTCCATCTTCATGGCTCCTTCACATGGAC